CAATAAATCACCCAATTGACTATGTAATAGTAACGTTGATGTTGACTGTCTTTTGTTACTTTCATAGTAAGAATGACTAGAACGCTTAAAGTGAATAAAATTAAGTATATTTGCAAATATAGGTGCATTCTCTATGTCTCTACTGCTACTCCAATGAGATAGCAATACGAGTTACGAACAAGCAAAGAAAGGGCGTAATCAACTTCTAGACCCCGAGTTATTGCTTCTTAGAAATGCTCTACAGTAAAATTAAAATTAATTTTTGGCCGAACAGGGACTCGAACCCACGGTGACAAAAGGCAGTATGAAAGGTGTGGTGGTAATAGATACCCGACTATCGCTTGCAACGTGTTAAACTCTGTACGTATCCGCGAAAGCATTTATATGATCCCATTCCAGCATCCAATAACCTTTTAAGAAAGTTTCAGAACTATCCTGTTATCGAGTTCTCGAAGAAAAATACGATATATTTCTCAGCGATTCAAAGTTTTCTGAATTGCGAACATAGTATGGGTTTTGTATCGCCCTCGGCTCGATAGTTGAAGCGTTGAGATGTGGAAGGATTCACGTTTTCAAAAATATACTTCCTACTGAAAATCTTTTATGTTTCATTTATGTTTACATATTGATACATAATTTTCTTTTCAAATTATGATGGAACTATTAACTTGCTCCCGCTTTGCTCGGGTGCGTCTCAGATATATTTTATAATTTATACATATAATAAAATTCTGAGTTGAGTCTGTATACTAATTTTTTTTGGAAACTCTTATTGAAATAATCATTATTATCGATACAGAGACCGAATCTATAATTTTTAGAAATTTCGTCTGTCTATCTGTCTTTCAGAGAACGCATCACGAGAATACCATTGGACATATTTTGATGAAATTTGATATGATGATAGCTAGTTATCTGGGTTAACATATAGGATACATTTTACTGCAGGAAAATATCTCATCTCTGAGAAATCTATACTAAACGTTAAAACGTAACGGAGCTAGGGTGAGTCGCTAGTATTATAATATACAGGTCAGGTATATCACCTTTTGAAATTTTTTGTTAATTAACAGTATTTTATGCCAAGGTCCATCTATCTGCGTACTAAGTTCCATCCAAAAGAAGGAGTAACAAACAAACACACATAAACTTTCGAATTTTGAATAGTACTATGATCAAACTTCATATTCTTAATCTACACCGTACGAAAAACCTAAAAATAAGTGACACAATAGTATAAAGCTTCTATATACAAACCAGTATTATTTATGCGAATGCTGTAATAGTGTGATTTCATCTAAATACCTTATTTAAAGCTCCTCTGTAAAAGCTTATTTCGACAAACATTACATTTTGCGCCATATTTTATCTAATTACTATTATTGTAAGGCGTGAATGCAAAGCTTAGCACGCGCCAACTTTCGGACCAATTCGTTTTATTACTCTAAACAAATTTTTCGTTCAAATTACTTATTCATTAGCGGAATCAATTTCACGTAATCTGTTCTGTATCTCGGATTGTTTGTTGAACTTTGAAAAGGGTTCCCCTCGTAGCTTGAATTTGTTCAGAATAGCCTTATTTGAGAAGGCAAGGCTAATTATATCGCTTTAGTTTGCCATTTTGGATCTTTTTCTTTGTTTTAGTACGAGAACACATGTTTAATACTGACAATATGAATATGTATAGAAATATAAATTTTAGTTATTGTAATATCAATTTCTTAGTATGATCAATATAATACGATGTATTATTATCTTCAAAACAAATTAGTTAACGTGTACTTTACTATCATAATATTTTCGAAACGTGACAAAAGAAGTATAATTAAAAAAAATATAATTTCTTAATAGTTAAATTTCTAAATCTTTAATATCATGAAGTCATTAAAATGTACTCGCCTTATAAATTTCCACGGCAAAAAGATAGCAGTTAGAAGAAATAGAATTAGAAAGTTTGTTGAGAAAAGTCCCAATTTGCTTCACATAAACTTGCATTAGAGTGGTATGGAAAAATTCATGCCTTTAAAATACAAGCAAGCTCCAATCTGGAATACTGTGTGCATTTTTTCGTCAAATCTAAGTTCTTTTAGAAACTGGTGGATTTTCCAATATTCCTTCTTATTCTTTCTGAGCTGAGCTTTCATTTAAATTAGTATCAATAGGATTGTTATGAGTTTCAATTTAATGTTCTTACAAAAGATAAATAAGAAGTATATTTTATCTTTTGTATAAATGTCTATTATTAAAATTAGAAAATACATACAGACGAAAATAAAACCTTTTTGACAGTCGGTTAAAATGTTAATTAACAACAGTATACTATAAGATTTCTTTACTTCTCACATTTATTACGTCGGTTTTGATATACTTTTTATATTAAGCTCTTTTATTAAATTTAGAGTTCCATTTTTTTACCACAAGTATCGGCTGAAATAATAACATATGAAGCGTGTTTTTTTAGACTCAATTATTATTACTGGCTCGCTTCTAGCTAGTTTTATTAAAATTTAATAGTACTGTTTTTGTTTTTATAAAAGCTTGAGCTCGAGACTTTTTTTGGAATAATTTACTATTAATAATATTTATTAATTATTATTAAAAAGTTATTTATCGAACGATTTCTTTAAAAGGGCACTCTGTATGCCATAAAATAGGTACGGCTTACAAATATGGTATTTTGTACATAACTTAATTTCAAGGAGTAATATTGTAAATAAGCACAATAAATATTATTAACATCAATTGAGTGGTCTATCGATATCCCATTGTAGTACTTAATTGAAACCGCGTAATACTCGATACGATACTGAAAGCCAATTTGCTCTTGTTACTTTGAACTAAGGTATCACATACTTTATTTTATTAATATATTTGAAGCACAAAAGCTTCTGTTAAGATTAGGATATTAAAGCTAATAGCTTTTATTATATTCATTATTATTATTTATGTATACAAGAAATTATTATATATTATAATTTTGCGTTATAATTTTTATATTAATCGGGCATAGAAATATTTATCTTGATCTCAGTAAAGCATCGTGAAATGTTCATTATTGTAGAACAAGTGTCAAGAATAAAATTTTATTATTGACATAATTATTATACTATAATAATTATAAATGTGAGAGCTTGTATGTTTTTGTATTTGAATGAAACCTACACAGATAGAGCCTGTGGGCATACCGTTAGTAATGAAAATTTCCAAAAAAATAATGCTCTTTGTATACGAGTTTAATATTGTAAATACAACGACACCTAGAGCCGTACCCGAGTGAAGCAAGCGTTAGTTGCTAGTAAATTATAAATGTATAGGTTAAATTTTTTAACTTGTTAACTGTTAATATTTAGCATGAAACATCTACACAAACCTTAAAACTACTCGCTTATTTTGTTCTAAAAATCGAATTCGGTACTTGTGAAATTAGTCTACCAATAAATTAGAAATTTCCGAAATTTCAAATTTCTCAGTATCGCAAACTCGTGATTCAAATGCAGGGATTATCTGATTCCAATTACGAGTCACTCGGGTACGTGCTTTGCCTGGTCACATCCCACAGGACAATGCGGCAGGCTAGTTTCATTACCTTGCCTGAGTATTATCCTAAGTCCTTTGACCATCCAGAATACAAGTTCGGGCTATTATATTATGAATACAAACGAATTTACGTTACTCTACCATATTAGATTGAAAATTAATAAACTTATTTATATAGCTGGGATGCGATCAGAGAAACTTATATTAAGAGCCTCTTTTACAATTTTATAGTCGAATATGAGGTTTGATTGCTTAGAAATAACATTTTGTTTTCATTAAATATTATATCAACTTCGTTGAAATGTAAGAATGTAATAAACTTACCTCAAAGAAAACAATTAATAAAGTAAAGTAGAAAGACGTTAAAGTATTTCAGCGATATTTACTCGAACTTCTCCGATTTCCGGAAGTAAAATCGATAATGGGGAGAGGGAAAGAATTAATTATTATCGTGACATTATAATGACTTACAATTCACTTGGATTTTACTCCGCAGTATTGTTAGAATGTAACGGCTTAAGTTGTTTTTAAATGATAATAGGTACTTTGATAAATTAATTGAATTTATGTTATAGTTTATTTTGCAGCTACCAACGTTTAGTGAAAGCTTACTAATTAATTCGGGATATCTGAATGCTCAACGAATATAACAAATTCGCTTAAGTATTTAATTACCATTAAATACGTATCAAACCTAAATCTACTGAACAGTACCATCTAGACAAGAAACAATAATGAACGTTTCTCTTATAAAATCACTAATTAAAGGTGTGAAAATTACAATTGGCAATCGTATCAATTTAAGCAAATACTGTCTATTCTCTTTAAAACAAAAGTTTTCGAAATTTAGAAGGCCTCGCTAATCAGATCGGACACGCACAAAGGGAACTATTGTATAATGATTAGAAAACGTTTTGTGTTATAATTGCTATTGTGTATTGTATTCAGCCCTTTTTATCGTCCCACTGCTGGGCACGGGCCTCCCTTCAGTACGAGGGGAATCAGGCCATAGTTCACCACGCTGGCCAAGTGCGAGTTGGCGGACTTCACATATCTTTCGAAAACTTGCTAAGTTCTCTCAGACATGCAGGTTTCCTCACGATGTTTTCCTTCACCGTAAGGCAAGTGGTAATCATGTTAGAAATGATTCGCACATGAAAATATCAGAGGTGCGAGACCCGGGATTTGAACCCGCTTCACTCGGTTTCTCAAGCGAGCGCGTTACCACTGGGCTACCACTGCCTTTTTGCTATTGATATAATTAAAATGATTGATGAATAATTGCTATTGATATAATTAAAATAATTTTGCGTATTTTAATGTATTAAAAGAAAAGCAATTTGTTAGAATCTCCATTTTGAATTAATTGTTTCTTTTTGTAGTACATTTATTTGGTGTTATGTTGAACAGAAAATAAATAACTATTATAACGAGTATTTATTTTATTATATTTCTTTTTCCAGATATATGAAGCACCAGAAAATACACGTCCAAAAAAGTGGTCTTCGAAACTAAAATTAAATACATCAGGAAGTTCTAAGTCTTCAGAAAAATCACCAGAGAGTCCTTACATGTATGGTACTGTTAGTGGACAAGATGGATCTGCATTATCAAAATCAATGAAGTATGCAGAAACTTGGCTTTACGGGTCTGTAAGGACTCAAACTCCTACTGTTAGACCTAGTGTTTTTTCAACTTACCCAGAGGTCTCTGGGCCAGTCTTAATAAGTACTCCTCAAAAACCTACTCCACACAATTATGCTGTTATATTATGTTCCTGTCCTGAATACCTAAATGGTACGAAGAAAACCAATTCAACCAAAGTCAGTATATGTAAGAAATGTAAAGGATCTCGCTTACCACTAACGATAGCTGAAAGTCCTCGCATGCTTGTAGGTGGCACCGTTCGAGGTTCCCAAGTTAGTCGTGATGTTGGCTTGTTAAGAGCTGGAACTGTCCGAGTTCAAAACACTAAAGCAAGACCTACTATACTGAAACCTAATGGTGATTCTGATCCTTATGATTTAATGAGAAGAAGTAGACTAGTACCCCCTCACGAAACACGAATTGGTAGTCAGTTTTCGACCTCAAGGTCACGTGCAAAAAGTATTAGTCCTTGTCGAATTAAAACTAAACAACCAAGTCCTGAAATTCTTCATAAAAACAGAAGTAAGTCCGTGAGTAGAGTTAATGATCTGTGGATTGAAGAAGAAGTCAATACAGTTGATAAAAAGAAATCTATATTATCATGCGACATTAATCCTTATGACTTAGTAAAACCTGGTGGAGAAGATTATGGTGATGTTTTTCAAGAATCTCATAAAAACAGTGAACGCTCCATAAAAAAGTCTAAAACTGATACAAATGTAAAAGCTATAGGTGGACAAAGAATCCGTGTGTCAAATGAACCAAAACCTAGTGGCATAGAGGAAGTGTCGGTGTACGACCCTGTTAGTTTTGATCTCAAAAACTATGACTTTAAGTCAACTGATATGTCTTCAGCGTTGTCTTTACCAAACATTAAAAAAGAAAGTAATAAATTTGCATCCTTAAGTAAAAACAGTAGTAAAAAAGTTGTAAGTATATCATCTACTAATCGTACAAAGCAAAAAAGCGTGTCACCAAAAAGACCACCGAGAAGAGTAAGAAATCATAAGATAGACGATGACAGTGAAAGCGATAACCAACGATTACCTGAAAGAAGTTTTACTAAGAAATCTTCAACAGAAAATTCACGTAGTCCTAAATATAAAAACAATAATACGGACACAATCAAATCTATTCTAAAAAAACCAAGAAGCTACGAATTAAGTGATTCGAGTACAAAAATTGAAACATCAGATGATTTATATGAGAGTAAGCGTACTAATTCATCCCAATTTTACCTTCCGAAACCTAAAGATAAAGGATTGATCTCACCCCAGAATATTTATCAGAGAAAACGTGTACAATTTCTTGTAGAAAATGAAGAGACCAAAGTAATTTATACAGCGGATTTAAATTTACATGAAAATAACATAAGCAATGATAATCCAAATATTATTGTTGAAGTTGCCACTGAAGAGGAAATTGTTGCTGAAGGTGATATTGTAAGTCACAGCTTAGAAATAAATGAATCTATTAGTTCACAAGAAACGACGAATTTGCATAACGTTTCGGAAGTGTATGAAGATATGCAAATGCAGACTCAAGTAGAGAATGTGATAGAAAACCTTCCTACAAATGTACCTACAAATCTTGTAATGGAGGAGCCTGCAGATAGCAATAAGGGTAATTATATTTTTTACATGTTAATTTTTTTTATGATATAAGCAATATGATGTATTTTTAATTTTTGAGTAAGTATATACATATATAATAAAGATATTTTTTTATTTCAGATAATAATGTACCTAAGATTTCGATATTACGGCGTTCAGAATCTGAGAGATTGGCTTCTACAATATCTATATCACCTCCAAAATTTTTAGATACTATGGCATTAAGATCGAAAAATAAGCATGGCCACACAAGCCAAGTATTTTTAGAATTTGTCAATGAAATTGAATCAGTGCATCAGCATAGGCTTGAACAGGAACCGCGAACAGAATCAAATAAAATTTCTCAAGATGTTCCAGCGCAAACAGACATTGATCTAGGGAATTTGAGTGATAATAGTGAAATAACAAGCAATGTGTTAAAAAGCTTACGTTGTGGCATATCTGGTTCACCAGAACCTCCACCGAGACTAAAATCAAAATCCAAAAAGCACAACTACGTTAAAACGAGATTTATTCGTAACAATTCTTCTAGTTCCACCAGCGATGAGTGGTCTGATACGAATGAAAATGAACAAAAAACTGTTTTAAGAGTTAAACAATTCGATTCTGATGATGGGGATGATCAAAAAGAAATTAAAAGTATTTATAAAACCACTGAACTTGAACCAAGGAAAACTTCCATTCAGATTAATGGTAATGAATGCTATTCAACTATGAATGTAAATAGTGATATACCAATATATCTATCATCGGTGGTCGTTAATGATGACTATAGCAATATGTGTAATACATATCAAACCGGTACCACAGTAACTATTAGTGTAGGTACTCCCCAAAAAGAAGTGAAAAAGTCTAAAAGTCAAATTTATATCGGGGCAGTATTTCCTGGTGAAAGTCATAAAAAAGAAGAATGCAATACGTATGAAGATTATTACAATGATGGTCGACATTCAAATTCATATTGTAAAGAAGATATGACTTCTATTTTAAATGATCCTGTTGAAGCCGTAAGAAGAAACCTAATACCGCACGTTTGTGGCAAAAAGGACAGTTCAGTTGGTAGCATAGATCCCATAAAAGAAACCAAATTAGGATCGAGCAAGCACTCTGAAAGTGGAAATCTAATAACAAAACTATTTGATGACCCATTTTTCGCACATTTAGCGGAAGGGCTTGATTCAGACTTGGTCAAAAAGTTGATTGAAAACTCTTTAATAAAACTCCAGGAAACTAAAAACCAAGAAGGGACAGATAGCAGCAAAATGACAATTGAAAAACTTATAGAAAGTTCTCTGATTAATTTAAAGGAAGAGGTCGAAAAAGAGAATAATAAAAATGAAAACATTAAAGTTGTACAACAAAAGAGCCCTACTAAAGAAAGTAATGATTTAGGTACTCAAACACCAGGATGTCTTGAACGTGATGATAAAGGCTGCTCTGCTCCCTATGAAAGTATGGAGTACGAGAGCGGTGCGATGGGAGTTTTTTCAGATCTTGAACCAATGTCGGATTGTTATAACGCGTCTGCGAGTGAATTATCAACGGAAGATGATACCAACTCTACACGATCGAAATTTTATCAAATGCTGGTAGATGCAGCAATATGTGACATTGAAATCGCAAATAATACTGATGATGACCATCACTATGAGTCAATACGATTAAATAATGATCCAATTTATGAGGAAATAGGAGATATGCCCCCACCATTACCTATTAATCCTCCGCCAAATTCACTTATGTTATTAGACGATGAAAAAAGAAGTGGATCGCGTTCAATATTTGAAGGTGCCTCTAAGTATGACATTCTATCCTACTTAGTAGACGCTAAAGAGAGAGGAATTGATGATGAAGAGACATACATTACTAATTATGAGAATGATAATGTATCACCAACATTAATAGATGAAGCGAAAGGAAAAACAGAAATGATTAAAACACACCTAAGCAGTAATACCAGTCAGTTGTCAAACGCCTCTGATTCAAGTGAAGACAATTCTTTAGTAATTAATCAAGAAACAACTGAAAAAGCAGTCGTTTGTAAAAAACCATCAGCTGAAATTGAAAGAAATGATTCTGGGGTCGGTTCTGAAACAAGCAAATCATCTAGAAGTAGGTTACAAGGGAAAATAATGCCTAATAATATTTTAAATGATAAAGATGCGCCTATACATTTATGTGAAGATTGTGATACAGCGGTTGAGACTCAAATTACTGAGCAAGGTAATTTATAATATATAAAATGAACTATTTCTTATTCTTAATCTTAAAAAAATATAATGATAAATTAAAACTGAGCATATAAAACTGAGATTAATAAATTTTAGTTATTTTGATAAGTTTTGGAAATTGAGATTTTTATACCAAAGTACATTTCAGATAACATTTGTAAATCGTATTGTTATTATAAAACAAATATTTAGGTTTTCCTACATATTTCAGGCTCCATATATGCACCGCTAGTATGCCGTAAATGTTCTAAGAAAAGAACTGAAAGAAAAGAAATTATTACTGAAATTGTTGAAACTGAAGAGAAATACGGACGTGATCTTCAAATAATTCTTGAAGAATTCTACAAACCCATGTTAGTGGCTGGTCTACTTACACAGGAACAATTAAGTGCGATTTTTTTAAACGTCGAAGAATTAATTGAAAATAATCAAGTACTATCGGAAAAATTAAGAGATGCACTCGAGATAGCTGTAGATCAAGGAGATGAGGTAAATATTTTATACTAACACTGGTCGATAAAATTAAAAAAGTCTTTTGACAGCAAGGAGATTGACAAGTTTCTAACTTTGCTTTAGCTTGCTAAATCCGACTACGTCTTTACGCCTACGAATTTTCTCTGTTACGTCAAGTTTTTGAGATATTGCTATATAAAAGGCCAAAAATGACATTAATTAACAAAAAAAATGTTGACTCAATTGATTTCCAAGCAGAAAAATGTCTTTCTTACATACATAGATATACATAATACATACATAATATGCAATATATGTACATATATCGAATACAATCAAAATAAATAAAAAAAAAATCAAAATAGCTAACAGCATTAAAATGATAACAGTTTTAAGGAAAACTCAAAATTCTAAATTGCATCAAAATATGAGAGAAATTTTGACGTCAAATTTAGATTCACTGTCCATCTACATCTAGTATATTAAGTCCACCTATCCATTGTTTTGCTTTTCTTTGGATATCAAACAGTCTAATTTAAAATAATATTTGTTATTGTTGTCGGTTCAAATTTATTTAAATACTTATATTTTTTTAGGATTTACTGACGGTCAATGTTGGTAAAATTCTCTTGGAGTGCTCCGGCATGCTGACAGCTTTTCAGTCGTATTGTGTAAAACAAGCTGGTGCCGCATTACTTCTTGCCGGTCTTGAGAAGGAGAAGGAACTCCTGAGGATATTCTTGCGCGTCTCGCAAATGGAAAATGCGGTCCTGAGACGAATGAATCTTAACTCGTTTCTCATGGTGAGTCATTATTTCCTACAATAATATAAAAAAAAACCTACTTATATAATATGTAATTCTTAACGTGATTACACTATTTAAATCTAGGCTTTGTAATATATATTTTTTTCATTTTGGAAATATTTAAATTGTTTTGTAAATATTCGTAATTTTCACAGATTCGAATAAATCAGGCAAGCTTGACTCAATTTTTTTCACCACTCAGTCACATGTATGGAGTGTCACTCCAATCTTTTATTTTTTGTAATAACACTACAAAATTGTGTAACTGTTTACATGAGCTACTATAGCTCAAATAGTCTCTGAAATTACTGAGCCATACGGATAGACGGATGTGATGAAATTATAAAGTTTCCGTTTATGCCTTATGTTTACTTAACCCTAAAACAATTAAACAAAAATATTAATTTATACGCACATCAAAATAATATAAGCTATTTCAACGACCAGGTGCCGGTTCAACGCGTGACAAAATATCCGCTCCTTCTCTCACGGTTGCACCGAGCAACACCCAGTTGCGCATCAGAAAGGGAAGACGTGAAGGGTGCACAGCGTTGCGTTGAATCTCGTTTGGAAGAGATCAATGCTGCCGCAGCAGCTGCAGCCGCAGCTGCCAGAGATGTGCCATTGTGGAGACGCCTAGCAGTTGCAAGGCGAACTGCACACGACCTACACGTAGCAGATATCCGGTTGAGGAAGATGGCTGTTGATGTTCTCGATTGGAATCATGATGATGCTAGGTTTGTTCGTTCTTTGTTACTTTAAGGGTATTTAGCATGATAAGTCATTTGTCGGTTTTATATTTTACTAATTACTCTTAATTTGTTCGCATGCTTTCCTAAGTGCATTGAAAAGTTTTATATTTCAGTCAGTGCCTTTTGGCTTTATTATTACTATATTACTAAGAGTAGCCTATGTGTAACTCCATACCGTAATTTATCCGTGTACCAAATTTCTTCTAAATACGACTAGCCGCTTTAGCGTGAAGGAGTACCAAACATACATTCACATATATACAAACTTTCGCATTTATTGTTTCGCATATATTATGTAGTGAGATGCTTTACTCGTTAGCTTAGGCGAACTGAGTTTAGACACAGAAACTGGAAAAAAATATTTTATATAACTAGATTTGTTATTCTAGCTGAAGGTTTGTTATTCTTCATGTCCTGTTATTAAAACGCTGTAAAATATAATAACATAATAACCTTAATATGAAAATAGGTTACTTATTAAAAAATACCCAATTAATTTAATTATGTGTTAAAAACAAAGATTTGTTTTCTTGTTAAAAGCATAATTTTACTTAAAAATAACCTTTTCCCTCACATTTTTGGGATATCCAACGGATATTTGAAGTCAAAGTCTATTTTTAATCAAGGATAGACGTTTCGAATAGTTTTAAAATAATGTGTGTTTGTTTAGGTTTGCGATGGAAGGCAAGCTGCTGTTTACACAACCGAACGACAACAATTGGCGCAAGGGTCGTACGATAAAATTGATGCCGATCAATGCTCTTTTGGTAACTAATGGAAAGGTGAGATTTTACGTATATATTTCTTTAAAATAAAAACCTTGTATACTTTTTTTAACTTTGGTGGATGCCATAATGTATCTGTAGCTAAAATTATATAATAATAGCGATATATAATAAGATAACTTTAAAAATTTATTGCATGTTTTAATTAAAATATATATTTATAATATTTATTTATTATGAAAATAAAAAGGCTTTATTATTATTACATATAATTAATAGCGATTTTAACCTTAACCCTGTGCGATCCTAGGTCATAACTGTAGCATGTGTACAACTCCAGATCACAGATAGAGATTTATGTACTAAATTCCACCCAAAGCAAGCTCTTGGCCTGTCTTAGCGTGAAGGAGTAACAATATACACATTGACGTAGGGAAATATAAGACTTTAGACTGGTAATATAATATGCAGAGGGATGAGGGCTACTTTCGCGTGAGGCAAATATTTATTGACCACACAGATGTTTTTCTCGGTCTTGCTACCTTAAAATGCGGGGTTAGACATTCCCTTCCTGAATGCATTATCTCGATATAATATATGAACCTCGAATAAAGAAATAATGTATCGTTGTAAATCCTATACTTTCGTCCGATGAAAGTTATATAAAAGAGGAAAATCTTTTTGTAATAAGCGGTATTATACAATAATAAATATTTATTGCTTAAGCTGTAAATAAAGTAACATATTCTTAATACAATACTTATACTTTTTAGCCAACGATCGCACATAAAACGAACGAAATAAGAGAAACGAGGGAACAAAGAGATCGAGAAGCGAGAGAAAGAGAGGGCGATGCCCTTTTCGCCCGAAGTGGAGTTAGAGAGGCAGCACTACTGTTAGTGCGAGAAAAGGCAGGAAGATACACTTTGCAAAGAGAGCCTCTCTTTCTAGACCGATGCGTGGTCGCCGCTGATCACGAACCGGAACACTTCTTTGAAGTCCACGAAATAACTACGAAAGATTCATTTATATTTAAGGTATGTTTTAAACTAATATTTATTAGCGGATTATTTATTTGGGAACACATAGCATAATTTTTTTTTGTCCAGAAACCTTCGCTAACATAGGCAGAACAACTCACCAAAGTTTCATCACAATCGGATGAATGGTTTGGGAACGTATAGAGTACAAACGTATAAACATTGATATTTATTTATTGGCTTTATATCTAATATAATATTACAATTTGAAAATTTTTCATATGCAATTTTAGAGTAAAATAAAATACACGAATAGTAAATAGAAAGTACAGACACAAAGAACATATGAACAGATGTTATAATCAACAGATACTAAAACCACTACAACACAATCCCGTCATTCAATTTTGGCTATATTTCTTCATGTATTCATTATTTTGTCAGATTTCCATTAGATTGAACGTGAAAGCATGTGCATATCTACATTAGTGCATCGCAGCTTTAAGCTTAGTCGACATTCCCTAGCTATATATTTACTACAAGCCATTGCACTCTATTTACGACGGTACACGTCGCTTTATTTGGCACCAGATATTTTTGTAACATTGCGGTTTTGAACAACCCGTGTATAATAATTCGATGAGAGAAATAAAAATATAATTTATGTAGGTACTATTTTTACGTTGTATGTTAATCGGCTAAAAGTACTTTAAAGCTTTTTTTATAAATAACTACTTTTAAATTTGATTTGCAAACGAATGCAGTGCTTTTATGACAAATATTCTTAATCAACTTCGTTAATGTGCAAATTTTTGACAAAAGATTTTTATTTGTCTATATCCCCATAAGAAGTTCTCGATCTACAAGGGTGATATCACTCATACTATATATGTAATTTATACTATATTTAATTTTACCAAGATAATATTTAGATGGATTAGTATAATTTTTATTTAGAAATTTAAGCTGGAGAGTCAAAGCTACTTTTTATCACAATAAAGTGTCTCATTCTCATGAAATGAATACACGAGATAACCTAATATCTAACCTAATATAGCAAATTACTGATTTCTAAGATATCTAGATTATTAATAAATTAATAAAAAATATGTAATAAACAATGCATTACAGGCAGAAGAAAGCGGTCGCACTCGCACTTGGTACCGCCAACTGCAGTACCATGCGCAAGGCGCAGGCGCATGGCGCAAACGGAGAAACGCGCTCGCAAACATCATGATCAACCCAATGCTTACGAGGAACTAACTAAACCCGCCTTAACGTTATATGCATTTGATTCGAAATAAATTTTTTAGTATACAGTTTATTTTTTACTGTAACTTTGAAGGGTTGAATGAAATGATTGAAATAACAAATGCGATACTAAAAATTATGTGAACAGCTTTCATTATCGTTCGTTTTTTCATTTTTATTATTGTGTTTAAATTATTTTTTTATTATATTATAAAGATGAATGATTTATGAAGATAACGAAAGTTAACGATGTATTTCTAGTTCATTTGTTGTTAAAATTATTATTTTATTGAACCCTTGAAATGATAATTCTTAGAGCTACCGTATGTTGGACATTTTTATAAAATTACGTAATATATAGTTAAAGTTTTTATTGAAATACCATTACCCCTTACACGTTCCAAATGTAATCATATTTGTAAAAGTTAAAAATCTTCAATTTACGGTGGCTTATGGTTCTGTTTGTTTTATAAGTATTAGTTTTTCAAAATCGTACAGCGACCTGTCATACGAAGTGCCACAGAAAATAAATATAATCACGTTAATAAACTTACTTTAGTTCTCAATAACATATATTTTACTTAACTTTTTTTCAATAATTTTAACAGTAGTGGGGAAGTTTAATACATGGTTCATTTTTTTATTGTTTAACATATTTTGGTTTTGTGTTTTTATTATATGTATGTATGTATGTAAGAAATTGCCACTAGTTTAGTCTAGCTTATACCAAAACGTAGTTTCGATACTGTTTGCGCTGCCCTTAACTTTTAATCATAGACCGTTAAATTTTTAATAAAAAAATAATAAAAAAAGCTTATTAAGTGTAAATAGTTAACTTTAATAGCTGTGATATCCAGACTTTTATCGAAAAAATCATGTTTTTTTTGAGCTCTGTAAGTATGTAAAGGATTACCCTGAAAAATAATAAACATCAAAGTAATTTCCTGACTAGTCTTAAGGAAAATGTAGTAATTGGATATTTATAGGGTTATATACATATAAATTAAATGTATTTATTGTATGTATTTCTATGTAATTAATATTCTATAAAGCTAAACATGCTATGTAAATGTAGATTAGAAAGTTTTTGCCTTTAAATTTACATTTGTTTATTATTAGGAAAGACAATGAAATAAATTAATTAAAAATAATGTTTTGTTATTGAAGACCCAGTATAAAAGCTATTTTTATCTTAAACACGAGTATAATACTAAATAAATAAGTAATAAATCGTTAAATATCAATTTTTAACCATAAGGCCAATCAAAGGAGCAAATCAAACAAGGTACAAGGACGAATATGTATATTTTCATCCTCTTAAGGGATGATTTCCGAGATAAAAACTATGTCATTTCCAGGGTCTCAAACTTAAATCTTAGCAAATTTCATCTAAATCGGTTTAGTAGATTCAGAGATTAGGCCCTACAACATCACAAACGTCTTTATAATATTAGTATAAATAACATATATATATATAATTTTACGTTTCATAATCATAACCAATTAAATACCGAATATTCAAAGAGACACAAATATTCTAGACATTCCTCTTTGACAGAACAATAAAAAGGTCTAATTATGACTTGGAAATTTCCGAAGAGACCGTTAACACTAAGAGAAATGAAACCCTTAAGCCAACGATATCGATATGGTTCGGTATAACGTTAAAATGGCTGAACAAAGTGGTGATTTGTAATAAAGACAATATCTACGTCTTTATGCATTTATTAATTCAAATATATGTATAAATTAATATCATTTTATTGTACAAGGGTTTTAGGTGACAGGCGGTGAAGGAAAATATCGTGAGGAAACCTGTATATCTGAGAGAACCTAGCAAGTTTTTAAACGACTTCAAAAAAGGAGGAGGTTCTCAATTCGTTGGAATCTTTTTTTTATGTATGTTCACCGATTACTCGAAGACGTCTGAACCGATTTGGAAAATTCTTTTTTTGTTTCGAAGGGGAATGGACTTCGAAAATATCTGATCAGGTATCTATTATAAATAAAAACCCACGTTTAGTTATTTTTTACATTTTAGTGCCTGGAAGTCGGGTTTTTTTAAGTTTTTATCAAATGACATGTGAAATCCGCTCGCACTTGGCCATCGTCGTGGACAATAGCCTGATCCCCGTCATCCTGAAGGGAGGCCCGTACCTAGCAGTGGGACATTAAAAATGGCTGAATACACAAGGGTTTCAGAATTATTTTATATGAAATTCCTTTAAAAATATAACGATCTATTTATGCTGATAACATTGCCTACTAAACTTAGGTTTAACAAAATATTTGCTTTATAAGCTTAATTACCATATTATTCATTGTTACGGCCGTTATCTTGGATATATGGATGTGGAAAATACATAGGCAATTTATATGGTGATAAACATAATTTGAAAGCGTTCTATAGTTGGTATTGATCTTATAAATATTGTTGGTACAGTTATTTTGAAAATTAGGCTTTAATGTTGTATAATTTTGCTATGGGTTACATGGGTGACATATTTACATTAAACTTTTTAGAAAGCTTAGTTAACTGGTTCAAACCCTCTTATGTTTTCTTGTGCGAATCATTTTAACATGTCTGCAACATGCCTTACGATGAAGGGTAGTAGTAGAAGTAAAGAAGTGTAGAAGTAAAGTATCTTATGGAAACCTGTATGTTTGAGAGAACCTAACAACGACGTGACGTGACGACACGTTTGGCTCAGTTTGTAGTGACCCTACTTGCTGAACCAGCGGTCACGGTTTCGAGTCCCGCTGGAGGCATTCATTTGTGTGACGAACATGAATGTTTGTACTCAAGTCATGGGTTTCTATCATGTTCTACATTTAGCTATCTCGTTTCCGAATTTAACTTGTTGAACCATTTCAGTGTAAACAACAACTTTTTTTTTACTTACTAACACCCGAATTTCCGTTAAATCAGGATGAATCTTACTTAGCAAGTATAAAGCTGCGTAATCTCAACTTTGACTGTGACAAGCGTAAGCGCTAGCAAGAAATAAACCAACTAACTTCGCTCAGGTTAACCGCATTTCTCAAGTTCGGATTACGCTAAGGTAACTTCTGCATAGTTTCATTATATTCGTATGACTGTAATAGGAACTTAATAATTACCACATTATATGTCGGCTACTGATCTATTTCATCCGGTATCTTTAATATTGAATGTCTATTCTATACTATACGTACATATACCTATAATAATTTCACAATTTAACTGTCGGGGTAGTGTGGCGGCTATCATATACGGCTGCACATCCGGATGTCCTGGATTCGAATCCCGGGTCGGGTTTAAGTTTAGTTCTTGAGTTTTTCTGTTTAGTAAGCCTCAGTAAGAGCCTGGAGTTGAGAAGTTGGCGGTGTTTCATCCTCGTGCTTCGAAGAGCTTGTAAAGTCGTCGGTCCTGCGCCTTGACTCGCTGGTCATGTCGGGTAGTTGTCCCACCGTAGTAGGGAATGACAGGAATAGAGAGTGCACTTGTGTCTGCGCGCACACTTGTGCACTAGAATATCTCCTCCGCAAATGTAATTTTTTGACTATAAAGTGATTCAATTATTACAAAATGAGTCATTCTACGACATCGAAATAACTTTAAAATTTGGTGACGATTATATATGACATCTTGAAGTATTACTTTTTCATTAAAAAATAATCATGACAGACAAAAATACCTGTAAAAAAACTATATGAAATTTTAATTATAAATGTAATATACAGTAACTATACTTAACTTAGTGATATGGTTTTTCAAGTACCCAGGTTAGTATGGAATTTGGGCTCAAGAGCTGCTTGTTAGATTAGAATTTCAAAGACATGCATTTTTCTCACGCTGTTTTCTTTCACCGTAAAGAATAAAATATCACTGGTGCGAGACTCGGGATTGGAACCTGCTTCACTCGGTGTCCCAAACGAGCGCATTACCACTGCCTTCTTTTTAGTTAAAAAAATATTATTACTTTACATATCCCTCTTTCACATTATAATGTGATTATGAGTTAAATAAACCGTATACATTTTTGAAAATCATTGCGGTTTAAGTACAGTGATGGTGGAATGGTAGTATAAAATAAAAATTTAAATTGCACCAAACGTGACCTTTTATCGTTGCAATAAAGCGGATGACCGTCGTAAAAATAATTTTATATCCCCCACATCCCATACGTGTAGTGAAACAAAAGTCAGGACAATGAAATTTAAGGGTCGTCACTCTTTTATATACTGGAATAATTATCCTTTAGGGTCAACCAAGACCGTTGAAGTTGTATTAAAAGTACCTTATATTTGAACGAAGAAAAAAAATGGTAATTAGGCAGTGCAAGGTATATGAATTGTTTTATTTTTGCTTGAAATATTATTAGTACTTTCATATGAATTTAGTCAAATAATAAAATTTGCTGTGGTCCTGCGAAATTATATTGAACGCTGCCTTCTCAACCTTTGTTATCATCACCGTCAGCTCAAGCTTTGTAACTCAAAGAAGAATCTAATGCATTTTTAAGGTATAACATATCACACAAAAAATTAGTCGACAACTTTGATATCTTATTTTATTAATTACTAGCATTGCCCGCAGCTCCACCCGCGCGTTTAGACGACCAAAAACCAAATTCTTAGGTTTTAGATATTACTATACTCTTACATTGCAGTTTTTGTATTTTTTCTCAGAAATGAGACATTTTCCCGCGGTAAAAAGTATCCTATATGTTGACCCGGATAACCACCTATCACCATACCAAATTTCATCAAAATTCCTCCAGTGTTTTTCTGTGATGCGGTAACAGACAGACAGACAGACAAAAAGTCTAATAATTATAAATTCGGCTTCTGTATCGATAATAATGTTTATTTCAATAAGATTTTCCAATAAATATTTAATGTACAGATTCGGCTTTGTTACAATTTTATTATAGGTATGTATAGAAAGAAACCTTCTACATTGTTTACTTATTTTTTCCTTAATTAAAATCATAGCCTGATGACTAAGGCATGATAAGATAGAGAGGAAAGAGTTATAATAGCAAAATGCACTTTTTATAAAATGAGTACTTACTTTCTCCCACGGGCTTGCTCGTTTATTTATGTGTTAGATAATAACTAACTATCCTCAAAAAAGTTAAGATATAAATGCGAACACAAATTACAATCAAAATATTTATTCCGCTTTATGATATAAGTATATTTTTTCTTCGTTTACCTTTCTACATACATACGTTGGAATTTTGAAATTTTAATTATTATGAAATGAGTCTTTTGTCAATATACAAAATTAAATTTTTGCGGCCTCGGCGCGGCGAGAGCTCTTTACATCGCATTAATTCATTTTACATCACGCTCTTCAAATATTTTCTGAAAACTCATTGTATTCTCAAATTTCATGTATGTTGATGTTATTCAATTAATCGGTCAAGTGCGAGACACTTAGCTAGATTTTATTATTAATAGCTATTATACTTTATTCCGCCTGGAAAGAGACTTCTGCTGCTACTACGGTCACGGTCGTGGCGATCACGATATGGGACAAAGATTTTATCTTAGAGTTTAACTATTTTTAGAGCAAAAATAGCAATTTGGCGCTTGTGTGTGTTATATGTTGCTATGTTAAAAGTATATTTCGAAGTACATAAGAGAGTGTAGGCTATTTTGATCTTTTCTCAACTTTTCAGCCCTCTTAAATTAGTTTCTCTTCTATAATTAATATCGCCAATACAAAACAAAAAATTGTATAAGAATGACCTGGTGACATTACTGTTAGATTTTGGCTATGTTATTTTTATACATTTCTTGTTTTCTATTGGGGAAATTGCTTGTAGAATTTCATCTTGTCTAAACTATCACTATTAATTAAGTAGGTTAGGTTTAAGAACTAATTACATCTTTCAAAATTGTGTTTTTTCATATTATTTAAACTAAGTCTAGAACAAACTTTAACAATGTACTACTGTAAAGGACACGTAATCTTCAGCGAAGACCACTTCCAGTAAGCAAGGACTCTTAGCGGTAAAGTATAGTGGAGTTGCGGTCGATAATCGATTCAGGTTGGATGATGAGTCTTAGTGAACAGGTGTCCCATTTTATCCACGTGTATTCGGAAAATTCGAATTCCCATAACTTATGGAAATAATAGGATATGTCAGTGTACCTCAACGAATATAGCTCACTATAGTGTAACGGACAACTTCGCTATTTTATATTAGTGAATAATTAAATTAAATAACCTTATGTTATTTTATTTAAGTCTATATGGCTTTAAAATAATCTACTCGTACCTAGCCTACAATCCCTAATCATATAACAAAATCAGATGTACTACTTTAAAAGTAAATATCCAATGAAAGCTTTTTTAAGTTTCAATGAATATTTTGCTAACAAAATTACAGACCCAAATAAATTCAAACAAATCAAACTTTTTTCCATATCCCTGATCAAAACAAAGCGTAATAATTAAGTGAAACGAGTGTAATAAACATAATGTAAATCTGTTCGTGTAATCGCCTTAAAGCGTAACGCTGCTTGCTATCTTGCTAATCCCTTGTAATCCTAGTTTCAGAAGTTACTAAGTTCCAAGAAGTCACTGTACAATTAATTGACTTTTTTAAAAGATTTACATCTACTATCTGTATATAAATAGGCAAAGACAATTTAGTACCTTTTTCTCCTTTGTTTGTCAACTGATGTTTTTATTTTTTAGAAGGTATTGACGAGTTTTAGTGTTATCAATAAAAAAAATGAAAACCGTTTTTTTATATAGATGGGTAAATTCTATTAATTGAGTATGCTTTTCTCAAATTTTCAATCTTTAAAACGTAAGTAGGGACGAACCCGAGTGGAGCCAGGGTGAGTCGCTAGTAATATTATAAATACAAAAAACACCTAGGGACCCGTGCGAAGTTAAGATAGTTCACTAGTAAGTAGATACCTAAATAACACCATGAGTATTTTGTTATTCTATCCCAAAATTGCATTTAAATATAACAAGTGGAAAGGGGAATCTTATGCCCGATAGAGCGGGGATTGCTTTCCGTCAGGTAAAGGATTACAAACAGGCGATAGCTTTAACAGCTTACAGCCTAGTCAAAATGGCCTGCTCCAAATCGCATCCGTTTCCTTTTAAAATAAAATGATATTGAGTTTATTTTAAAGTAAGAAAAATTCTTAAGTATTAGTGTTTAGTAACTTATGTATAAATAAGCAAAGACAAAACAGCTCAGTACCTTTTTCTCCTCTGTTTTTCAACGGTTTTTTTTTGTTTGGTAGCTATTGAAGAGTTTTAGTGTTATCAATAAAAAAAATTAGAAAATATTTAATCAAATAATTTAGAAAAGTTATTTTTTTATATAGATAGATAAATTCTATTTATATATGTTTTCCTCAAATTATAATAATGAATATGGTCAAATTTAGATCCTATAAATAAATAATTTCTTAGTTCTTGTTATATTTTCTTTAAGATACACGGAGATCGTTATCGTATTTTCGTATTCATCTATGAAATATGGTTAAGTTGGTGTTTATTTATTTGTCTGTACTCTCTTGTTCTTATTTGTATGTAATGTACTCGTACTTATACTATGTACATTTTTGGAGTTTTATTTTGCAAAATATTTTATAGCTTTCGTCATTACTTTTTACTCATTAGATTCGTTCATGCACAGCTTTTAAATATAAATAAATAAATGAATATGTTGGGATATTTATTATTAACATAGAGCACCATCTAGTTCCATGGCAAGCTACGAGGCTTGTGTTATGGATACCAAATAGTTGATACACTACACATATATAACTCTAAATACATACATACATATTATAAATATATAATATCAAGTTTATATCAGATTTTAAATATCGAGTTCAATGTTAAAAAAGTTTTTATCAGTGATGACAATTTTTTTTTATTAATTTATTTGGGGGCTTATACACTACCTAAAGGTACACGAATGATGAGAGTAGCTATGTTTGTTTGTTGTTTCTTCACGCTTAAACGCCTTAAATTTTCATGGGCATGATGAGAAATAAAATTTCCCTAATTTTTGATCCGTTTATAGTATATATATCCGTTTATATATCCTTTAGTCATAGGTAGTAATATTTTGAATAATTGGTAATAAATTTCATATTTAATATAAAATAAGCATAAATAGGTATTAAACATAAATTAGATTTCTTAGCCAAGTTGGAACGTAAGTCCATTTTAAACCGCTTGTAAACTATTTATTTGCCCACAATTCGACCTCGAGATGTTAATTTAATTTAGCAAACACTACTAGAAAATGATACTAAATTCGTAAATGCGATAAGCATTCAACCTGTTATCTTTAGTGCTAGGGTAAAATTCCATTAGCATACCGTGTTAATACATATAGTGATATGTATATATTTATGAGACATTTTCGTGTTCGCCATCTTAATGTTATGTGTGGGAAAAATAATTCTGTCCATCTGTTCAATGATAAATTAGTATGGTATTTAAATTAACCATGAATCGAATAACATTGAAAAGGGACAGAAAAAACGGAAATTCAACAACAAAAAAGATGGACTGGGGTAAATATGTTTCTAAGGAAAAGTCCTATACGTAGCCCTGACAAAGGCTGGCTGCTAGTGAGTTATATATGAAAGAAAATAAATAAAAAGTAAAGAATAAAATAACTATATTTTTTTGGTATCTGTAGAAACTATCATTAGAAGCATAGAAAAATGAACATAGCGTTTGTTATCTTAGTGGTAAAATGAAATGAGGTCTCATTTTATGAATTCTAGCTGTATTAAGATCTGTTTTTGGTACGTTTTGTTTTAGTTTGATGGTCAATAAATGAGTTAATTTTTAATACAGATGTCTATTAACATATAGTTATTGAATAGTTTTAAATTAGAAGATATTGTAGCTATGAAAACAAAAGTCTTAAAAAAATTGGTAATTATTTTAATTGTACTCAAAACTTGAGCACTTATATAGTGCCGCTTGCATAGAGTTAGCAACAAGATGCTGGCAAATTAAAAATTAAAAAATTCATATCTTTTTAAATTATTACTCATGGACACGGTCCATTCAATACGAGGGAGATCAAATGGAAGTTGGCTGACTTCACATACTATCTTTCAGAAACTAGTTAAGCTTTGTAGACATGCAGGTTTTGTCACGTTTTCGTGTACCATATTAGCAAGTGGTTATCATGTTGAAAACGATTTACATATGAAATTCTCAGAGTTGTAAGAACTGTTTCTAAACCCGAATGCTCAATGCTTTTTAATTTTCAACTAAAATAGGCAAATTCCAAACCAAATTGCCTACCTTTCATCTGAACTCAACCATATCCAATAAAATTAAGCGACATTAACTTCAATCTTATCTTTATGATTATTTTATTTTCCGCAGACCTTTTCGTTACTTTTTCCAAAGCTGTATTTTCGTCCTAAACTGATCGAGTCAAGCACTTATCTTACCAATGACATTGCTCTTTACATACCTTTGGCTTCAAGTGTAAGAGAGAATACTATGTAGATTTTACACAATATATACACACAATGTATCGTGGTTAAATATCAATCTATACATATAATAAAATTGTAACTAAGCCGAATCTGTATATTAAATATTTTTTGGAAAATCTAATTGAAATAAACATTGTTATCGATACAGAGGCCGAATCTATAGTTTTTAGAATTTTTGTCTGTCTGTCTGTCTGTTACCGCATCACAGAAAAACCACTGGAGGGATTTTGATGAAATTTGGTATGGTGGTTATCCGGGTCAACATATAGGATACTTTTTACCGCGGGAAAATGTCTCATTTTTGAGAAAAAAATACAAAAACTGCAATGTAAGAGTATACTAATATGTAAAACCTAAGAATTTGGTTTTTGGTCATCTGAACGCGGGCGGAGCCGCGGGCAATGCTAGTACAATATATAACAAATCTCTATTTTTCTTTCAATATGATTTTTTTAAATAAAACTATCTTTTCGGATTTTTTCGCGATAAAATCCGAAAAGATAGTTTTATTTAAAATGTCAAGTATTCGCGTAAATCTAAGAAAGTATCAATATGATTTATTTTAAATATATATGTATAATTATAATAAATAAATAATAATTTTTCTTTGCATTTGAAGCATGCAGGTGTCTTCACGATGTTTTCCTTTACGGTTTAAATACTACCGTGTTGAACATACCTATATTCTATATATAGGAGGCATCAAATATTTGTTT